AAGCAGAAGTGGAAGGGAAAGGGAGGGAAGGAAAAGAAAAAGAAAAGGAAAAGGAAAAGGAAAAGGAAAAGGAAAAGGAAAAGGAAAAGGAAAAAAAGGAAAGGAGACCATGGAAGCAAATTAGAAGAAAGAGATTAGTCAAAGGATATTTGTTTCTTTAAAAAATCTGTTATAAAGGCTACATTTGAGGATTTTCCATTCTGGTTACCTAACAAAATGCCTTTGGGCATGATTTTTTTTAGCAGCGCTAAGGAGCACCACTCAAAATGATTTAAATTGCAGTTCTGAGCACTCAGCTGCTCTGAAAATCAGGCCCTATATGGGTCAAGTTGGTCATTTCCTCTAAATGAACACCTAAGGAAACTTTAAGTGAGATGGTTCCGACTCTGAATCCACAGTGGCAGAAACGGGAACAGAACTTAGGCTTTCTGACTGACTGATCAAATGACTAGACTGTGCTATCACCAAAAAGGAGAGTTTAAAGAATGACTCTGAAAGGTTATTTTCACTGAATTGCTGAGTACATAAAATGAGTTGAAAGAAAGGGTAAAACTTCTTGAAAGGGTTTAGAAATGGTTATATTTATAATCTGTTGTGGTAGGATTTAGGAGTCCAGTGTTCAGTGAAGCTAGACTGACAAATTTATTACAGTTATAAGGCTGAGAAACCTATTAGAAGAAACATAATAGAAAGCACATTTTTGTGAAGGTTTAATAGGAACTGAAACAATTCAACAAAAGACTAAATTTAGTAAAGGGGGAAAAGTCATTTAATACATCTTTCCAAAAAGATTGAGTGACCTTTCTTTAAAAAGAAGAATTCTTTTTTCTATAAAAAATGAAAAATTCAACTTCTGTAACAACAATCTAGTAAAAGGGTTTATTAGAAACTGGCTTCTTGTGCAAGTTCTGCTGTTTTCATTGCCAATAAATGTTGGTGTTATGCAATAAGACAAGCATTGTTGCTTCTCTAATTTCTCTCAGGGATTGAAGAAATTCATAATAAAAGCATTCAAAATCTAAACTGAAATTAAAAAATACAGCACCCGTGTTCAGGTTTGCATGGCGAAAAAATGGGGACAAACACTAAATAGTGCAGTCAGCTGGAAGCAGTTGGACAATTGTTTAAACAACCAGTGCTTGCATGGGATGGGATTCAGGTGAACATTAGCAGGCACTGGCTTGCTCCATGGTGATCTTGTGATGGTCTTGTTGCTCAAAGAAGGAGAACACTTTTAGTGCTAAGGGAAGTAACATGTAGTCTATGTGGGTAAGTGAAGTGCTGCCTACAAGATCAAAGTGAGCAAAGCATTCCCATTCAACATACTTCAAATAGGAACAGAGAATTGTGGTTCTCCAAGTGTTTGTTTTCACTGGGTTCCCTGTGTTCAGCTTAGGAAGAACAGACAATAGGAGTTGTTTGAAATAAAGCTGTAATTTACGATCCTAACATGCTGAGAAGCAATTAAATTCAAGCTAATTACTGTAAATAGTTTTTATAATTACGTGTAAAACATTCTACTACCTGTACATCTGTTAAAGTCAGTTGAGGCCCATTGATTTCTCTTTTTTCTGAAGGGAAAGCCTAATGTTATTACTCAACAACCAAACTGTTTTCTTGAAATCTTAAAAAAAAAAAAAAGTACCTATACCATAAAAGCTAAAGATGAAAAGTAACTGTAAGGACACATATTGTATCCCCTTGACAATTACATCAATTACATCAGTAAACTGTCTCAGATATTGTCTAAGCTATTTTATATTTCATAGCTGTATCAACTGCTTCTGGAAATACAGTTCCAGAACCTAAAAGCATCTTTCCCAAAAGCACAAAATAAATAAATAAACAAATCAATCAATGAATTTTCAGCTGAGGGCTGAAAATTTTCATCCTATATATCAGAAATCAATTGAGCTACCAAATAACAAAATGCAAGTACCAGAACACGATGTTAGTTGCCCTATCATTTACAACTTACGAGTTTCATCTCAGCTCGAGTCTTAGTACTGCAATGAAGCCAACTAACTAACCCTGAACAGAGAACGGTGTGGAAGTGCCAACAGTAAGGTTGAGACCAACCCCTTGAATACTGGAACGCAAGGAGAGAGAGGAACTACAAGGCAGTTTATGCACTTTTTTACATTTGATGCGTTATTAGCTTTCTCCCTGACTAGGAGGACATTTCCTTGAACATCTTTGTCTTTTTAGCTTGTTGTAACTTCAAGTAGCTTAGCAAAGGGGTTGTGCAGGTGCTTGAAATGCTGCCAACTGTCTTCCACTTTGTAGTTGATAGGAAAAACTGCCAAACCCCAAGGTGATGGCCACAATCTCATGGGATTTCAAGGCTCTTAGATTGTTCCATAGGCCTGGAATATCTTAGTATCACATAAGAAATGTTTATGCACAGATACACTTGGGACCTTCAAGTAGCTGTTAAACTATTATAGCAATAGAGATGCAAGCAAAGAAAGAAGAGGAAAGCAAAGCAATCATAAAAAAAATTAAATGTGTGCATTTTTAAACAAGTTTTTAAAGTGGTTTTGTATAAAAAGCTCCTGTCTTACGACCTTCCTATTGAAATACTCCAGTTTTAAAATCCAAATACATAAAAACATTCCTTTTTTTTTAAACTGACATATGGCACAAATTGGAATCAGTAAATAAAAGCACATAAAGCTAAACTATGCCCTTCTAAATGCCAGCAAAAATGACAACATAAAATACTAGCTATATAAACTATGCACAGGTGTGTAGCGTATCACAAGCAAAAAACCCACATCTTGCAATTATAAGCCTACAGTATTTATTTCACTTGTCTGTAATTACATTTTATACATGTTTGTTTAGTAATATCAATCCAAGACATCATTTTGAGGATATAATTAACTGCATGTTATAGCAGAATGTGTTTGTCTGGTTTTGTGCGTTTCAAGATTTAAGAGCTTTTGTTAGCTGTGTTTAAGTGCCACCTAGCGTTATAATTCACAAATTTCACTCCAAAAACCCTTTTCCCTACATTTTCAGAGTAAAACCGAAGTGTGTGGACTAAGAAAACACATAGGGTCATAATGCCTACGTTTCAGTACTAAGAGTATGTCCTTAATCCGTATTTAGTCACTCAAAGACTATATGGAGAAAAGCTCTCAGGCATAACACCGCCGCAAAAGACTGCAACCAAGCAAGAATGAAACTGATGTCAAACTACACTCTGACATCTGCACAGCAGGGCAGGAAAAACAGATCTCAGGTCCTCAGCTACAGGTAACTAGTTTTTAAGATCTTTTGTTGTTGTTATTTAATTAGTGATGCAACAGTAAATTCAGATAAAGATAGATGTGTTTAATGAAGAGATGACTGTTTCTGGCAGAGGGGATAGGGGGGTGAATATATTTTTAGTAAAAGAAATTTAACATTAGATTATGTAAAATGCCCTATGTAACTGGAAACAGAGAGGAATGGAAGCATAATAATCTACAGAGCACATTTCAATTAGGTGCCAGCACACTGAAGTTTGCAAGAATCACAGAATCATAGAATGGCCTGGGTTGAAAAGGACACAATGTTCATCTAGTTTCAACCCCCCTGCTATGTGCAGGGTTGCCAACCACCAAGAGAATGTCTTTCGTCATGTAAGTCCAGCCCATTCATAAATCCCCATTTCTGCAATGGCCCTCGAGGCCTTCATCGTGGCTGCTTTGCAATACAAGGAACAGCTATTCAAAGCAGCCTGCTATGGGGATTTAGTACCAGATTTCTTTTTTTCTTGACAAGTTGGGAAGTAAACTAGCTTAGGCTATATTTCTAATGAAAAAAAAAAAAAAAACAACATAGTTTCTGGCTCATTAGCTATTGACATATTGTTCCATCCCACTGTCATATAAAGTGGTCATTAAGAAATTATGTTTTCCATCCTCTGCTCCCACAGCACTGAACAACTGACAGTACCTGCAGCTTAACAAAAACGTTCTTTGCTTTCTGTCTACAAAAGGGCATATGAAATGGTTTACATAAGACAAAGTTCAATTTGCACCCATTCTTTATGGAATTCATCAAATGCTACCATGCTACAAAAAAAAAAAAAAAAAAGGGGGGGGGGATTGCTGCCATTAAGGATAACTGGCGTAACTCAGTAGAACATGGAAATGGCATTCCATTAAGTCCAGTAAGACCAGAACTATTAACTGTTCACACCACCAGAAGTGAGGAAAAGCTCCTATTTCCTTTATTGGAAAGTCTTATCTTCCAATCACAACCATAAAAAAAAAAGTAAAATGAAGATTTTATGGACTATTTATCCCGCATGCTATAGTAAGGAGGGGTGAGTTCACAAGCGCCTTAAAGACGTCCCCAGAATTATGTGTCGCAAAGTGAATTAACGTGAGTTTGTAGAAGAAATACAAAATCAGAGGAAAAAAAAAAAAAAAAAAGACAGAGTGAACGAACTGAGGAATCACCAGGAAAACGTGATCAGCAGTAGGAAAGGTTCCTGCTGAAGTCTCCTAACAGGAACAGAGAATGTTTGAACTGGGAAAACAAGCTCCTTTAGAAACCACCTGCACCTTCAGTGTGCTTAAATTTGTCAGTCAACAGTGGGGAAAAAAATGAAGAAAATATGAGTTGTATTGAACAGCTGTATGGTATTTGACATACAGTTTCTTGGCTCGTGTTTTCTGCAAGGGCAAAACACAAAAAGTGGATTAACTGTGCCTCTTAAAGAAATGCGTTTTAACGGCAGTCTGAAGAGAAAGAATCAACCTCAGTAGCTCTTCGAGCTTAGAGGTACGGAAGGCGCTCTGCTCTGCTTAGAACGCAAAGCCCAAACCGCTGCCAAACGCGCAGCAGAAGCTCCAACACAACCACACCCTCAGCCGCCTCCATGCCCTCTGAGGGGTAACGGTCACTGCGCGAGACGCCCCTCTGCCCGCCCCCGGTTCTGATTGGCTCCTGCTTCCTCCCATCCCTCCAATCACAGCTGAGGGGGCGGGCCTGAGCGCGGGGGCGCGACGCGGCCATAGCGCGCTGGCGGTTAAGCCCCGCCCTTCCGGCCGTCGCCATGGCAGCCAGCAGGGGGGAGGCGGCGGCGTCGCGGAGGCCGCGGTGAGAGGTGGCTTTGCTTTTGCAAGCCGCAAAGGCTGAAGGTAAACTAGGTTTTCTAGGAGGAGAGCACGGAGGTGATGGGGACCTCCTGAGGGGAAAGGGAAACGCTGGAAATAGAGCGGAAGGGTGGGGAATCTGCTGGGTGAGGTGAGAACACATCAGTTTCTGCCGAAGTCACGTGTGTCCTGCTTCAGAGTTGGGTGTGGATCTCGGATGCCCTCGCAGGTGTTCTGATTGCCTGACGTTTTATTTCTCCTGCCTTTCGTGTGACAGTTTCTGGTGTTGAGGCTGATTTCTGGGACAGTAATGCGCTTCTGAGGTGGAAAGGATTAATTGACTGCCGAACGCCTCCGAGCTTCTGAGTGGTGCTGGGGGTGCGATGTGGGCAATGGGCACCCGATCCCAGCACAGCTAAAGGAACCCCAAAGCCAAGGTGTAAACGTAACCCCCTGTTCAGTTATCTTCTGTTACTTTACTGAAGAGCTGAGCTAATTCTTTCAAGGGCCCGAAATTTAAGCTGGTTCCCTGATTTCAGTTGTTAAATCATGCTTGTATTTGCAACCCAATGTATCTGCAACCTAATGTAGGGAACCTGCCTTAGCAGGGGGGTTGGAATCGATGGTCCTCCAATGTCCCTTTCATTCTGTGACATTTCACAGGAGGCACTGTGAGGCCTAGTGTGAACTCCAAGTGCAAGTGTAACTTTGTATTCATAGTACCATGACAAAGCCAGAAATCACTGCTGTGAACAGTGATACACAAACTATGTGAGCACATGACAGAGTCATAGAATCTTAGAATCCTTAGAGTTGGAAGGAACCTCTGAGGGCCTTTGTGTGTGTGGCTGTAAGCAGGTGATGTTTGAGAAAACTTTATTAAATCTGAAGGCTGGAAGTCAAACTTTAGTTCCCAAGTAAAATGTTAGAAGTCAGTAAGATTTTCCTAATGTGTATTGTGGGCACTTGTGGTGTGTGTGTTTGTATTCAAACCATAATGTAACAATGTCTTATGGTATTAACATTTATAAGCAGGTTTTATTTATATGGCTGATATATTATATAAATATAATGCATGCAACTGTTCGGAATGCTTTGCTGCTGAAAAGTAAGCATTCGTGCATGTCTTTGGAGGACTCTAATTTCACTTAGTTTTGCTTTAATACAGTGACAAAACCTGGACGAACAACAGAAGATGTCGTCCTATTTGGCTCAGGAAGTTCATCTGGCTAGGAGACACGAGGAGATGTAAGTGACTTCCTCAGTGGCTGGGCCTGCCCCACAGCAGTTTGTACTGTGGTCCAGAGGGGTCTTGTGTATCCATCCTTTGAACAGTTAATCAGACCTTTAGAAAGCACAGTGGTATTTTATTGAGGGGCCAGTGATCCAGGAGGTGGCACTCTTCCTTCATGAACTGCTGGAATTAGTGTCATTGCTGGTGAGAGTATTTAGACTGGTGAGGTTTCTGACTTGTGATGATGGTACTGGTTTAAGATCTCCATTGTTAACCTCCGGTCACCACTGAACTCCTTTGTGGGAAAGTATTTGGATTGTCATTCTGTGCCTCAGTTACTGAGCTACATCTTTGTCACCCCATAAACTCAGTTTGTGAAGCAAATACAGTAATATTCAGGAAACTCTGCTTTTCTTATAACAGCTAGTTATAACAACTTGCCGGTGCGCAGGAGTAGTACTGATCAAGTCACCCCAGCCCACCCTGTCTTTCCTCTTCTGGGAGATTCAGTGCTTCTAAGCACCTTAGCATATGAGGACTGCTGGTTGCAATATTATAGCTTCGTATAAGCACAGCAGGTGGTGTCTGCCTGTACCTTTTCCCTCCCCCAGCACACCCACCCTACAGCCGGCTTAATTAGCCCCATGGTTTTGAGAAAACCGGGTAAGGTAAAAAGGTTATTTTCTAGCTCCTGAGCAAAATGTTCTACCCACTTAGCAAAATGTTTTCCTTTGTAGACTGTCTCAGAGATCAGCGCTGCTACAGCAGATGGAGACTTATCTAGGAGACAAAAAGACTAAAAAGACATGGCAAACTCAAGCAGCTGATGCAGCTCGTAGAAGGAATGCAGCACTTTTAAATGTAAGTTTCTGCAACTACCAGGAACTGAGTTGAAATGTCATGATTATGCAGCTAAGATAATTTTTTTTTTAAATGTTTGCTCTGTTGCTATCATTAGAGTTCTCCTATATTCTCTTTTCTCTTCTGGAACTTGACCAAAAGTATCAAATGGCAAGTCTGTATTATCGGATGGCACTACTACCTATTTTACATGCCCTTCTTATTTGAGCCTTGTGGTGGCAGCTGCTGTCTCTTTTTTTTTCTTTTTTTTTTTTCTGAAGTATTTGCGGAGATGCAACACGTGCTATTACATGTCTGCCTAAGACAGCCTCAGTGTAACTAGACTCCAAATACCTTAACACCTTGATTCAAGAGTTGGGAGTATGGGAATGGATGCTGCCCAGGTTAAGATGCTTTTAGTCCAGGGTAGGAACTGTTGTCCAGCTATGATTGTGTGAAGTTATGGAAGAAGTCCTCAGTTATTTTTCTTTAAGGGGAGGTAGAATGACTTCAAGAATATTACTTGCAAGTATTGTAATATCAGTGCTTGGTGTTTCTGTTTCTTCTCAGTGATAATGTTAATAGCTGTTCTACATATCTGTTGTCATGTTTAGGTACAATTTATGTTTTCTAGATTAGTTAAGTGGATGTTTGAGAACTGGAAATTAAGATCTGAGTTTAATGTCAGAGACTAGAATGCTAGAATCTCTTCTCAACCTTTAGCTTAGGCATCTGAGTTTGAAGAGATGGCACTTGACCACTGACATGAACACACATTTGAAAAATGGCCATCTGCTTCTCACAGGCATTTTCTTCAATTCTTAGTTATTAAGATCTCATATAGTGTATTGAATCTTTTGAAATTATAAATTTTACTCTAGAAAATTAAAAGTTTTATTTGTACCATCAAATATTTTTTGCTTCTTCATGCAGAACCTGATCAAGGTTTAAAAACATTCACGTTTTAGGTGGGTATGATTCTGAAGCAAGATCTCTTTGAATTTAAATGGAAGCTATATTTAGGGAGTGGCAGATAAGGCAGAACAGTTAATGTGTGATGCCTTCTTAAATACTATGTGCTGAAAGAGGACTTCAACTCAGACTCCATTCAGCTGCTGCATACTGAGCTGGGGCAATCAAATGCCTCTGCAGTGGGTATGGACTATGTAGGTGCTTCAGTGTAAGGTTGATAGAAAGGGATGAATTGTTTGTTTTCTTGCATCATAATTCATTTTCCTCTGCTTTAGTAATTTCATCTGTTATGACTCCCATTTTATAATTACCATAGATCTATTTTTCATATTGATAGTTGTCTTTTTTTGTAAATGAACTTTATTTTATCAGTGCATTCTCAGCTAATGTACACAAGAAGCATAAGAAATGCAGGATATATTTTCTGCATGCTGAAAACTTGTTGTATTGGAAATGTTAACAATAACTTAGACATATACAGAGTGTAAATATTTTTGCAGCCACACAGATATTTGCCATCTTCTGTCACATCCTCAAAATTGTTCCTTTCAAGTGTCAAAAATGTTGGTGTTTGTACAAAAAAAAAAAAAAGCAAAAACATATGTATCAAAACAAATTCTGTGGCAGGATAAAGTAGCATAAATCAGTTTAAATCTATTTATTTTATACTGATTTTAACAGACGTGCACTCCTGCAGATGCTTTCTGATAACAGAATAGAAAAGAACAAAAAAATCTCTGCAGAATAATATATGAGACGCTTCAAAACAAGACTGATTAATGTGCCAGCTTCAGAATATTGTTCCTGATACCAGGCACTGTACATTTCACAGTTACCATGTGGAGAGTTGTTGATTTGGCCTACTAAAAAATACATGGACATGATGAAGTGTTATTTTTTTATTTGCATTTCTGTTTTTCTGCATGTAAGCAAAATCAGTTGTTTTCAATATGTGATCATAGGAAGAGACATTTTTCTTTCTCAATGCTAGTTGATATTTATGCACAGGAAAGCATTTCAAGATTAATTTATTTTCTAATCAGCAGGAAGCAGGGAACTAAAGATTTTTTTTAATTGAAATTTTAGCATTATAAGCACTTGTTCAGCATTCGAACATAATTGTCAGAGTATTTTACTTAATGTCTTTAGAGGGATACTACAGATTAGAGAAATCTGTATCATCTGGTGCTTATATAATGTTTTCATAACAAAAGCAGAAATTAGACCAGTATTTACAATCTAATTTATGAGACTTGTTTGTCAGTAACATTTCTGGTTTATCAGTTCTGTTGTTATTTTGGTGCAACGTCTTATATCATGAAATAGAAAATAGGGAATATGCTCTTCAATTTTTAGTACTGACTATGTAAGTAATTTAGACTGAATTTGCTTTCCTGTACGGGCATGTAATTGCAGAATTACTGAAGTGGGATTCTGCCAGACTCTTATCAATATAAGTGACAGTTGAATTTGGTCCCCTAAAAGCGATGTGTGTGTCATGCATTCCATTTTACCTCTGGGGAAGGGTCTTGAATTGTTTTTGTTCCAGTCCTTGTAGTTTCAGGGGAAAGTGCTGCAAGATGCTCTCTTTTTTTTTTTTCCTCTATATTGTGACATATTAAATTTGTTGCAATTTTTTTTCCAAAGAAGCTTACACCAATGTATTTATTTTTATATTGATGATGGAGATTTCTCTTCCCTACAAAGTTTACCGGTTGCATAGACACGAAAGAAATGCCATCTAATCTTAGTTATTTTCCTAAAGCATACTACACCTTCCAGCAAAAATTTTGTTCACTGTCTGTCATTAAATCAGTATTCTGACAATAGACTGCACAACACAAACTCGAGTGAGCAACAAAAAGACACATCCAATATCTAGGCTATGCCAAAGTGACCTTCTCCACTAAACATATATGCACAACTGCTCTCTCCTTTTTTTGCCTGGAATACATAAATTTCCTATGACCATAAACATTCTGATGCCCTTAACTGAATAGATAAAGAAATGATTTTTTGATGCTCTTCCTTTCTGTGAAAATTCCTATAGGAAGGGGAGAAATTCTGTGGGAGAATATGAAGCAAACTTTAGTGATTGATACTTCTTCTCGATGTGGATATCTTCTCCAGCCTTCATCAGAGCCATACTGAGATGAGCTTCATTCAGTGCAATTGATGATCTGTCTGTTCTAAGCACGTGCAACAAAGTCCATACTTAGTTTAGTGAATTCTTTTATGTCTTCTATTGTTTTTGACACTGTAACTTCAGGTGGCTTCTGTTTTTGCTCACATTCCCTCTGTATGTTTGTTCTCTTTTCTCACCTGACAAGAGGCAGTCACTTGCTGCATCCTGGGATTTGGTTAAATCCAAGACTTAAGTTTGTTCTTTCTTAAATGTCCCTTAACTTCTGCAAGGATGTAAACTCCCTTGTATGAAAGGGGAGTTTTACTTAGACTAGATTTCTAAGAATGTGTGAGAGAATGTAGTCATGGGGTAAAAGGAATTAATGAAATAGAAGAACACTGTAGAGTGAATGAACTGAGTGTGTTACTAAGTTGAACTCGAGCTAACAAGTTTCTGTTTTTATTAACCATATCAGCTGAATTTGAGCCATATTTCTCAAACTAAACTTAAGTTGAGCACTGTTTATTTTTGATGTATTCATTTTGGCTATTATTCAACACGAGTAATCATGTTTGGTCTCTCTTGAGGATATGCTTCTCCAGAATCTCACTCTTCTTTTCAGCAGCAGTGGTGGTGAATATTTGGGAAGTCCCTTTGGGGAATTTCCTCTCTCATTTAGTTTTTCTGTTGTACTCTTCACACCCGCTCTCTGCTCCCAACTCTGCCATCTGCTATACTTTCTTTCCCCCTCCACTCTGTTCAGCTTTGGCTTCTTCACACCCCACTCCCACGTCCCTTTCTGTCTCTCTTCATCTGCCCACCACTCAATCTCTTCAATGTTTGGGTATGGAACTAAGCCCACAGGAATGGGTCAGAACTTTAAGAGGGAGGGGGGCTAATTTGGGGTGATGGGTTTTATTTGTTTGTCACTGCTGTTTCTGTTTTTAAAATTTATTTAGGCCTTTGTGAATCCAGCACACATCCACTGGGCAAGCAGAAACCCAAATACTGATTTTTGTAAGAAGGCTATGTGAGGTGCATTGTCATCCAAGTTTGTCTGGTGAACAGCTTGCTGCAGCTCTACATTTTTGTGCACATGTTATGCATGCATATTAGCAAGTCATCTTTGTCTTGAGAAGTAAAGATCTTGCACATAATTTGCCTAGTTACTTTACAGTTACAGTAGCTAGAATACATACTTCAGTTTTCATGCAGCACAGAACAAACCATTCAATTCTTTTCCATTGCTGTAAATTATAGAGAATGGAATTTAATTGTGATTTACTGTAGTGTTCAAAGAGGACAGCAGTGTTTTACAGCAACAAACCTATGTGGTAATAACATTTATTCTTTTATCAGAAGGTTACAGGAAGCATTTAGAAACTGTAGGTTCCTAGTCTTACAAGTTAGATTCCAGAATGGCTGCAGAGAAAGTTTTGAACCTCTGGCGTTGTTATTTGAGTACTGTTTAAGTTTAATGAGTTAATTTAATTAATCTAAATGTCTTTATGTGAGTATATTTTCCTTTTAATATTCCCACTGTGTTTTTAAAATGTGCTTTGCCTGTGTTTTAGGACATAGAAGCAGCAGAAAAAAAGCTGCAAGAAAGAATGTATTTACTTCCACATCCCGATACTGTTAAGCTAGAAGTAAGTCCTAGAACTCTGTCTTTTTGTTTGCTGTTTACCAAATATTTTGCTCCCCATCCCCCCCAAGCATGTTCTTAAAGTGAAAATAATTGATTTTAAAATCCAGTGACTGGTATAGCCAAAGGCCTGCGTGCTGTGCAGCAAGCTGAACCTAACTTCTAGGGCAAGGTCCCTAGATTCTAGAGCATTCTGGTGGAAATGTTTTGCAGCTTTCAGATCTTTACAAACTTGTATTTAAAAATGAAAATGGATGATATTCACAATATTTAATTTTTATAATGACTACTGTGATTGTTATGTCAGAGCTACTTTGTTTTACGTGGACATCCTGTTTTCAGTGTGCTGCAAGTTGTCATCCTTACATTTCAGAGTCAACAGTTTATCAACTTGAACAGAGAAGATTTCACTTCTCACAGTTATTTTATCAGGTCGTACAGGATCTCAGGAAATGTAGTGCTAAACCTGGGATTTTTCTTCTCACTCGTAGTCCCTGAAGCATTATTTAAAGATGGCAATTTTGAGGAAGTTGCTACTCTGAGAACTAAATATTGTTCTGATAAAACACACCAATTTCAGTTCCTGAATCTCAAGACTGTTTTCTCGGTATTACACTTGATGAATGAATAAGGAGGACAGGAGCATTCTTAGGAACAGAAATAGGGACACAGCTTATTCCTGATAGAAACTAAACATCTAACCACGGGAACACAAAATCATATTCCTGCTTGTGTTTCTTGGACCAGTGATTTTTGGGTTCATCATTATGCAGTGAGTTATTTTCCACAAACATAGCAGGTCCCACACTATTCTGCGTGTTGTCAAAGGAGAGAAAAGGTATGAACTGTAGTGTTTTCATGTGATGGTGAGGTGTATTGTATGTTGATTTCACACCTGCTGGGCAAGTGTTGTAATACTTAGGCTGCTACTTAAATGAGAAACATCATTTCTTGTTTTAGTTACTGTTAAAAGATTTTGTCTGTCTTTGTAGTTCATAAATGGCTGACTCCCATCACGGTGACAAGGTACATTCTCAGAATGCCCTTTTAGTGGGGTTTTAAGAGATTTTTAGGAAACATCAATTGTTCTTCCTGGATACCTATACATCTTGAATGACACTGAGAAGGCTGCCAAAGTACTTGTTTGAGCCCGTTGTGACTGGGCTCAGAAGTAGAGTTTTAGACTCTTAGATGACTTCAAGGCACCTGAAGAGTTGTTTGGATCAGTTTTAGACTAGGCAGTTTGGCTTCTATCTTTGTTCCTGTGTTAGGTGCTTAAGCTGCTTATGGGATGTAGACTGAAGTTCACATGTACTGGAGAGCACAGAGCTGATAGCTGCAGAGATCTTTGTGCTCTTTAGCATAGTGGTATAGTGGTAGAATTTTTGAGAGAATGATGTTACTATTTGAAGCAGAAGATCCTATTTCAGCCTTTTTTATACTTCTAAAGAAGAGTGCTATAAATAGTAGAAAAAGAAAACTTTTTCATGGTACAAAATTCTGGTGTGTGCTCTGCTCCAAAACACTTCTGAGCATATTTCACTCAGCCATATATGTGTCTGTATTAATATACTTTGAAAGTTATGGCTGTAATGGATCCCCAGCTTGCTAAGTCAGAGTAGTTTTGTGTGACAGCACATATGCTTGTCAAAAAAGATTCTTTGAGTAAATCTGTTGAAGAAAATATTTTTGTAAATCTGCAAGAGCTGTAGTTATATCTGAGTTACATGTAAGGATCAGGATGATTAGCCAGGAATCTAATACGCTGTAGAAAGATGTAGATGAGTACTACAAAGTGAACATTATATATTTAAACAAGTAGAAGAAAAAAAATGCATATGGTACCATACATGTTTTCTGCTACAAAATTACTTTTCACTGAATGAACATAGGCATCTAAAAATACCTCCACTTACCTTGGAGAATTGAATGTGTAAATTTCATCTGGCTCTTGATCACATTATCTTGTGGAGAAAAAAGAATAGGTGTCACTAAGAATTTCTTCTTCAAGTTCTAGAAGAAACAAAGTTCTCCTGAGTGCTAACACCAAAAATGATGATCAGTATGTCCGTTCTATGAGTAGAATGGAAGTCAAGTTTCTTAGTCAGAGGCACTGAGTAACGCACAGTTAGATAATTCAGTGTTCTTTTCTGACCATGAGATAACTAGATGGCCTTTTCCTTTCATGATGCAAATACTGGAGCCAATTGCTGTGTCACTGATTTATCACAGCTGAAATTTTACTCGAATAGTTTGAACTGCATTGCTGCAAACTTTTCTAAGGAAAGCAGTTTACGTGGTAAACATAGCAGTTACATAGCACTTTCTGTTTGTAGCATTAAGCAGTGGTTGTTGTTTTTTTTTTTAATTTCAAATTTAAATGGTACTAACGCATGTATTTAAATACGAAAGCTGCTTTTGGAGGAGCTTAGAATCACAGAAAATATTTTATTGAAGGTATGTTGAGGGTCTGAATTAATCTGTAGCTTACCACAAGAGGGCAGATTCAGTCACTTCACAGTTCATGCTACGAGATGAAATCCTTCCAGCCTGGTGTTTTGCATCGTATGAGAGATTGATAACTTTGTGTGCAAGTACATAGTTCTTTTCTGAACTGCTTCACTCATAAGGCAAGATCTGAAAATTCATTGCGTATCTCTGTTGTTTGTAAACATGCTGATGCAGATTTTGAAATAAAGTTGATTTTTTTTTTTTTTTTTTTATGTCTTTCTCAGACTCTCTATTGGGCTTCAGTAAAAGACTCTCTTCCCAAATGGGAAGAGTTTCTTTTAGGAAGAGCAGAATATCCCATTGGTTTTAAGAAACTGAAAACTACAAAACAGAACAACATAAGCTACCCAGAAGAAGATTCACAAAAACAAATACTCTGATTTTGTTTTGTAACTCTGGTTTGAGCAGACAATATCATCCAGGTTATAGAATGTAATATTATGCCATTAAATGGTAATGTAAATCATTTGAAATGAAAATGAACTGTACTGGATAATTTGTTTCTGTTGTCTCGGCGTGTAAAACTTCAGTTTGAATGGTGGCATCTGCTTTTGGAGAGCTCAGACTAGAATTCCTCACAATGAGAAAAGCAGTGCTGTGTAAGGGGGCTTTTTGGATCAAAAGTCAAATCGCCCACCTAGGTGGTTACTGCGTCAGTCTAAGAAGAGTCTTAGGTTATTTGCAATCCTCTGCTTTTCTGTATAAGTGTGATAACTAAAGATAGATTCATACATAATCTTTCTACACTGTATTCATCTGTGTTGCATGCATCTCTGGATGAAGCAGAAGGGAAGAATTTGCCATTATTGGGAAAGGTAGGCTCTTTGCATCAGTCTTGGTTCAGCAGCAGTAATCTGTGTGAAAACTATTCATGATAGCAGATGTGGGGAGAACATCTTGAATTTGCACATCTTGCTTTCCCTGATTTTTTTTGTTGTTGTTGGTGGTGGTGGTATTTCCACTTCTGTTGCTTCTGCACCTCTCTCCTTTATCTGCTGCTGCTTTTCCTAGCCTCATCCTATCTAATATGTGAGTAAAGACAAGAAAATACAAACAAATCCATAGGAACTTTCTGCTACTCCTGGGCTTAATGCTATTTTCTTTATGGTGGCATCCTATAAGTGTGGTCTTTAACTTAAGCATGAGGAGTTTGATAGGAGCAAGCAGAAAGATTGCCTGCAGCAGCTGTCATACAACCAAGCACATAGAAGCTGCAGAGATTCTTTCTCAGCCACTGAACTGTTCCTCCACATCTTCTTTCAGAGTTCATTGGAAAAGACTTCTAGATTTGTGACTTGGCCTGAAGAAATTTCACCCTTCCTATGTGAAGGATGCTTTGAAAGAAAGAAAGGAAGGAAGAGCCTGGGCTGGAGTCAATATATTGCTAAAATTTGATCTTATATGCTACAGCGTTCTTCTGATCTGGACAACAACAACGCCTCCTGATGTGGAACAGGAATAAAAGAAGTTGACTTGGAAAAATTGTAATTACTAATTTTTGCTGATCTGTTAATGAACTGATCAATGCATCTCCATGTTACTTAGAGATACAAAATATTTTTTTGTACTAGACTAGGGAAGTACTTTTACTGAAACTCAGTTTCTAGCAGCGTTATTGATAAATATCTGAATTGGCTCAGACCTGTGGACAGAAGAACACGTGTTCTTTCCACTAAACGTAGCTCAGATATTCACAGGTTGATTAGCTGTTGGTGGGGAGTTCATGGTTCAGTCTGAACTAGAGAATGGACTTCTAGCTGAGAACGCTAGGAAGCCTGGCTGAACTTGAAGGACCAACATCCATGAGTGCTCCTTCCTGGAATTAGGCACTCAATTTTGTCTGTAGTCAAAGTATCATTTACACAAAGGGGGGAAAAAAAAAAAAAAGATTAAAACTTCAGTTTTAAAAATGTTGTATATTTTCAGTGGGAATGCTAGGAGTTCATTTAAAACTTTTTCTTTTAAAGTGTCCATTAAACTGATAAGTTTTTACAGAAACTGCCATCTTAGAAATATCCTGTTGAGTGGGTGTTGGTGTTTGTAACAATAACGTTGTTTTCATAATATGTGATGGCAGATTAGCACGCTTCTCTGCAGTGTTGTTAACAGTTGTAATTAAGGAATAAACAGTAAAGGGTGTCAGTCCGATGACAATTTCATCTATAGTGTCACAATACAAAATGTCACAAAATATTAGAACTGTTATATAACTACAAAAATATCAAATTAGGCTTTCATCTTACTAGCAGAGAGCTTAAAAAAACCTGGCAGAGAGACCATTGCAATTTTATACCTACTCAGTGTTCTGTCACAAAGACAACTTGGTAATATTTTCTTCTGTGAGATCGCAACGTGGTTCTCAGTCTGATTTAGTGGGAATGTGTGTGGATCTTCGAATCATTGAGCTCCAATTTAAAAAAGCAAATAATTGGAATCGGTTGAACATACAAGAGGGGAAAAGCTATTACATGCAATGCCCCTCTCCCAGAAAAGGGGTGGGCGAGCTGTTGCTAACAAAGGCTAGGACTCATCCTGGTCTTTGCATGGAAAGGGAAATCACTTAAACTGAAATCTGGGCCCCTAAGTACTTTATATGTGTGAATAATCTGGGTCTTTATCTCTTTGGACTCCGCCTAAACACTGGGACACAATGCAGATGCTCACCATTTCCTTGCTGCTTTTGATTTCTTGTGGAAGGAAGACTGTATGCACTGTGAGGGCAGAGCAGCTGGGGAGAAAGGGGTTCTGTGCTGCTGTTTAACTGACATAAAAATAAAGACAAAAACAATTCCCTTGGTAACAAATATAGTTTGAACTGTCAGGTATTATTAGATACTTCATTAGATACTTGGATGCTGTCTTTCTGATTTTTTTTTTCCCTCTTTTATCAGGCTAAGAGGTGAAGATTAAAATTTGTCATCTTTTTAGAAAAGGAAATTACATTTTTTTCTGTGCTGTAGCTTCAGGAGCAACAGGACAGCTATAGAATGTTATATAGGAACAGGTCCAGAAAATTGATTAAAATGAAAATAGAGAGGAAACTTTTGAAGTAGGAATGTGTATAGGCATCTTCTCTGGCTGACAGGGGCCTTTTTGTTGGCCTGTGGTCTGGAAGGCAGAAGTGCAGTTGCATATGAGTGAAACAGCAAAGCAGTAGGTGCAAGGAGGCACGTAGCAGGGCAGGGTAGAAGCCAAGTGTGTCCTGATATGTCCCAGAGCCTGGGGCAAGCAGTGGCAGAGCACATGATTTTATGGTATTTCTTGTTATACCTGGCATTGTTACACCATTTCTGTATGGTTGAGCTGGCTTGCCACCTGCCTTTGGGTAGATCCACATTTGAGAAAGCACTTTTGTAATAGCTTAAGTGTATTTAGATAAAAACCAGAACAAACAAACTATAAACTGATCTATACTGCCATGATTTAGTACTGGCATTAAATGAGATCTTGAATGAGTATTCTTCTGTCTCAAGGCTGATGCTTCAAGATGAATTCAGTGTAGTCATCCCACTGTCTTATCCCAGGCTTTTTACCCATTCTGGGTAAATGGCTTTTTTTACTCTGAAAGTAACCTGTTACTCTGCATTCTTGATGTGCTGCTTGCCCCTTTGTGCTAAAACATATGTATGCATAAGCTGCAGTGGTCCTGCTTCTTGCTTCTTCTGCTTTCCCCGTGGGTCAGAGAACACAAGGGAGAGAAAAGCAGAAGAGAAAACAAATGGTTTTGCCTGTCTGTAAGTTAATGATCAAGAATCTTATGAGAAGAAATAATTAATCGGCCTTTTTGGGTTTGTGCATGGATGAGTAAGAACAGGACTAGCTTAGGAGCACAGCCTGCTCACCCCTTTTGTCACCTCTACCCTCACATTCCCAAGGATTTTATTGTCTCAGCCTCTGGCAGTGGGGGCAGTAGCAGAAGGCATGTTAGTTTTCCCTGGTATAGTAAGTTTGTTATTCCACAGAGTCCTTCTCAAGCTTGTTTGTTTCATTCGAAGGTATATATGAGATAACAGAAGGGCTTGGATACTTGTAACTGTGGTGTCCTCTCGGTTACATTTCTTCAGGGTCACGTTTTCATAGAAGTTGGGAGCCAGGCTCTAGGCAGAGCTGATAGTTCCTCCTCTCTATTTCATTCACATTGTGCAGCCAGGATTATAGGTGCTCACTTTGAGCTTGCTGATAGTGAAAAGTAAGGGAAAAAAAATGGAATGCAGTTTTAGAGGGTTATGTCTGAAAGAAAACATTACTTACTCCATAATGCTAAGTTTCATAATATTTTAATAGTTGTGTTCAGATACAACTTGACCTTAAATATCACCCCAAATGCAAGCTGTTTTAACATATTTGTAATGCTCAGATCGTCATTACTGTAATATTCTGTTTGCTCGAGGATTATAATCCACAGATACAATATGATACAGTTCAAATAAAGCTTTCATCTTGTATTCACAGCCTGGTGGATTTTGGTGTTGTATTGCATGGACAAACTGTATGTAAGTCAGTGCCTGCTGTAGCTCATGTGCACTGAGTCTGCAGGTGATGGATGCTTTGCTTAGGTGTGCTGCTTATTATCCTTCATTTTCCTTTGAGACCCATCAGAAATGTTTATCTGCTGAATGAAGATTAGAATCTCAGAAGTTTATTGATGAAAAATCAAAATGTAATAAATCCAGGGTAGGTTATTTACGCTCTCTCTATTGTTTCATAGTAAGCGTGCGCTTAATTACTTCAAATATGTGATTATTTGCAAGCTGTGGATAAATTTTAAGCTCTTATGAAGGAAATAGGTGGAAAAAAGAAGTTTTGTAGGTTCTCCTGCAGTAAGTAGTGTGATTTAATTTGGGAATTTGCTACTGCTTTTAAACATAGCTGAAATGGCTCTTAAAAATGCCTGAACTGTGTCCACTGTGCGTGTGCATATGTATCCCTGCAATTGCATCTTTTTCACTTGAGTTACTTTGCATACGTTTGTCATTGCTGCATACAAATAGGAAGTATGATCGCTTCTTCCCATAAGTTTTATCACTAGTGATGATGATCTTAAAAATAAATGTGTGGTGTTCTTTCTCCTCTCAGTCGTATCACCTACCAGCGAGCCCTAATAGGCTGCAGAATAGTGTGAGACGGTATTTACATCACACTTTTGAAACAGATTCAAGCAGAGCCAGCTGCCGTAAGATTATTTTACAAATATATTGCAAATTAATAAAAGGAAAAATTCGGTGTCCTTTAAGTAAATTGCAGTCTCCTTGCCTAATGCCTAGCTTGAAGCGGCAGTAATTAGTACCTGCTTCACAGCGGGGCTGGAAACGTCGTTTCGGTTTCCAGCCTTGTGTTTCTTTACCCGTTTAGTTTGTGTGCGTCCCCAGTAGCTTCGTGGCTGGTTCTCTAACTCGCTTAACAGAAGCTCCAGAGGACGGTGCCGTGGCAGCCCTGCACCTGCAGCTTCTTCCCGGTGTGCGCGGGGTGCCACACC